GGGGGGGGGGCGGGCTACTGAACCCTCCTCGTCTCCGAACAAGAACCCGAAAACAAACAAAATAAAAGACATATGCGGTGGTGGATCAAACCCTAGAACTAAAAAATGGCGGGATTCACAGGACAAAATCTCGTGATTTTAGAACGAAAAAATAAAGGAATTTGGGGAGCGGTGCGCGTCACCTCGGAATTAAACCCTTGGAGGTGGAGAGGGTGGAGATGGAACAGAGGGACGGATGGATCCGGGGAGTTTCGCCGGCGACGAGGGGGGAGGGAAAGAGAGGAGAGAAGGGTGGAGAAGGGGGTGCCGGAGCAGGAATTGTGGTTGGGTGCGGAGGGCGGTGCCGTCTGCCGTGCCGCGACACGTGCGGGTACGCCGGAACGAGGACGGACCACACCACCGCCGCTCTTCTCCTCTTTTTTCTTTCCATTTTTGCGGATGGGCTGGGCCTTGGAGTTCTTTTTTTCTGAGAAAACATGGGCCTTAGAGTTCGCAGGTCAGTCGAGAGACTGGGCCAAGGCTTCAGAAACAAGTAAAACGGCTACCATTTCATTCTGAGCAGCTGGGCTAAGATTTGTTTTTTTTAGAGAAAGCTGGGCGTACAGATGCAAAACGCGTCTCGTCTCTCTCTTCTCTCTCCTGATCTCGGCCCACGATCGTAAAAGACATGTCCATTTCGCTCAGGCTCACTCGACCCTGTACGATTGTTCACCAGGATTGCCTAAAAAAAATTGTTAACCAAGAAACAAATAAAACTCAAGTCCGTAGAAAAAGAGTCCTGCTACAGTCAGAAAAATGTTGCTCATGCTTCCATGGAATACCTGACGAAGAATCCGCACAGGGGCTACGAAATCAATGTCGTCGGAATGGGTGAAGCTATCTGCTGGGAGTTCATCTGCCTAGCTGCTCATGTTTACTCCGTACTTCACTTTTCTGTGAGTTTACCTATGGACCAGAGGGTAAACTTGCACTGCACCGTGTGTTCGGTTTCTATTTTTCTTCTACAAAAATGGAAACGGCAGCAGGGCTGATTAGATAACAAATACTCCTGCTACTTCCTTCGTCTGAAAATACTTGTCATCAAAATGAATAAAAGGGGATGTATCTAGATGTATTTTAGTTCTAGATACATCTCTTTTATCCATTTTGATGACAAGTATTTTCGGACGGAGGGAGTATTACCCAACGAATTCAGATATAGGTGCGTCAAAAAAAATGAAGTCAGATACTGGATATGCATGTGCTCTCCTACGAGTTGCCACGTCCCACGCCCACGCGTACACGTAAGCAGCCGTACGAAACCGTCCTGCCATCGCGTGCCGACCTCGGCGGAACAGTGCCACACGTACCTCTCAGACGTGGCGCCCAGTGTCCACACCACCAGAAACGATCTACCTGGACGAATCACCATCGGTCGATCATCATAGAATAGTGGGGAGGATGAGTCACCGCAAGGACGAGCCAGATTCCAGTTGCCTGGCCTGGCCGCTTTCCCTGTAGGATCCACGTACCTCGCCTCACCGCCCACTGCATGCATGATTGCTTGCCACCCTCCAACCTGCTGTTCGATTGCTCTTCGATTTCTTCATAAACAACTCACAGCTTGTTCTTCTATACGTGATTTATGGAGTTCGCAGGATAACTAATTAAAGCTTCATGTCACGGTTAGGTGTTAGGTTGTCATCGTCCTGATCGAGCAATCAAAACAGCGGTCTCTTTCGTCGACATACAGACGCCGCTAGCTAGATTAAGTGATCTACAAGGTTCAATCATGGAAGATCGATGCTCCAAGCTTGCAACAGTTTATATAATCATATACTACTATATATTCAGAGCACTACACACGGAATATATATATATATATATAAGCAGCTTCCGTGGCCGGTGGGGGGACGAGAAGGTATGCGTGTACATCTGGCTCTCATATGAACTCTCATTTGAGAAGCTAACCCAGTGAGTAAATTGCACAAAATCACCATTTTGAAGGCTAAGTTTGCGAAAAACACTACATTACATTTCTTTTGCAGAAAACACCACGTCTACGGTAATCTTTTTGCAAAAATCACTGATCGGCGGATCTTGCGCTGTTAAGTAAGATTATGACAGATAGGTCCCATTTCTCGCAGACGTGGCATAACATTTTACCCAAGACAGCGTTAGACGGGTAAAAAAGCTAAAACACCCGCAAGTTTTTTCTCATGTGCTGCCCAGGCCCTTGCCATGTCCTGCCACACAGTCAACCGTCTCGATGGCGCCGGTCACCACCATCCGCCAGCCGCCACCGTGCTCACCTTCCTGCCCCGCCGCGCTCCAGCGTTTGCCAGCTGCGCCCGCCTCTGCTCAACCGCGCCACCGCCGCCATGCACCATCCAGGCGGGTAAGGGCCGACCTCGAGCAGGCCCCGACGCTCCCCGCGCCCCTCGACAGGAGCTGCAGACGGCGATGCGCGCACGCGCTCCAGGCGTCGCACCTCCGGCGAGAGATGCCGCGCTGCTTTGTCGCCCCGTTCTGCCCTAGCGCCGCCACATCCCCATCCGGCGAGGGAGGCCGCGCCACCGCGAAGAGACGATTTGGCCTCCGCGAAGAGACGCCCATCGACGGTTGCTGGATCCGGCGAGGTATGCCACGCCGCCGCCCCGATTAGCCTTCAGCGCGAGGATGCGCCCAGCGCCGGCTGCGGGATCCGGCGAGGGATGTCGCCGCTGCCGCGATTTGGCCTCCTGCGCAAGGAGGTGCCCAACGCAGGCTGCGTTGACCGCCCCAACCTGTGGCGAGGATCTGATTGCATTTTTTTCTTTTTGCTTTAGGGGCGTCTGTGTAAAATGTATGGACTAGTTTGTAAAATTAGATTAAAATTGACCTAGCATGAAATTTTACGCCACGTAGCCAAAAAGGGGCCCCAGCTGTCATAAGCGTGCTTAACAGAGCTAAATCCGCCGATCGGTGGTTTTTGCAAAAACATTACTGAAGATATAGTGTTTTTTTTGCAAAAAAATGTATTATAGTGTTTTTCGCAAACCTAGCCTTCAAAGTGGTGGTTTTGTGCAATTTACTCTAATCCAGTCCATGTCAACGTCGTATCGACTAATAATTAACTGCTGATTGATAGCAGGTCAACCACCGTGGCGTCGTGCGACCAAACCTATAATGCATGGTAATGAGGTGAGCACTGTATATTATCTCATAGAAGAAAGCATGATCACAGGGGAATAATCCTTGTTGTACTACTACACAATGTTTCCATCGAACACAAGGCAGCTTCTTCATTTCATCAGAAGTGGGGGCAACAGTACATGATGATTGAAGTCTAGTGTTGTTATTGAGCACATGGTCTCGATCAAGTTTTAGAGTGAAAACTCGAGGTCGGGTTTGGACTAGTGGTACCTGTCAATGGTGGTGTTCCACGTCATATATTTGTCGGACATATTGTTTGGAGTTTGCTCAAACTTTTTCTTCGGCTGAAAACTCAAGATCTAGCATACGTGGATGGATCTCGCGACGGCGACACTTGTGAGTTGTTGAAGCACTTTTTTCGTAGTCTGGATGCTGTCATCAACGATGGTTGATGTTGATGATTGCTGCTCCATGTGTGAGTTTGCTTGGACAAGACATGTAGAGGTTGTGCTTTTTTTTCCTTTCCTTCTTTTCATTTATTTCTTTGTGTGTGTCCATTTTTATTATGTGCATTCTAGTCATGCAAAGGCTGGATGTATCTCGTCGTGCTTGTGTTTTCTTTAGAGCGGAGGCATGTGATCGGCCTTAAACTGAGGCCTTTACGAAAATCAGGACAGAAGTACAACAAACGAAACAGTGCAAACGAGCAATACAAGGTCCTACGGACCCATAGACATGACGCAACGCGCTAAAATAATGCGGCGATCAAAGGATCCCGCAAAGCCATGAAGGACGCCTCTATCCCCCATCAGCCCTGGTGTTGGCGCGGCGGAGTTCATCGCGTCTTGCACGTAGGCTGCTGGCGAGAAGCTCCACCCTTCCTCGCTCCCTTGTTCTTGCCAGAAGTTCCATAGCTGCAAAAACATTACCAATTTATAGATCAAGTCTACCGGATGCCGGAAAAACTTTCCTTCCATTAAAGCTTTATTGCAAGTTGTCCATAAGGACCAACTAAGAGACGCAAAGCCCACCCAGGCTACATTACGGTCTTGCGCATTTGTGCCTCTTATGAGGCGATAGACATCCGAGAAGTTAATCGGTTCCAGGAGCACCCAATAGGCGCCCTCAGCACACTCCAAGTAAACCTGGCGGTGATGCACTGACAAATGATATGGTCACATGAGTCATCCTGACCGCACGAAACGCATTTGCCGTCACCCGGGGCCATTTCTTTTCTTGATGCGACATTATAAGTCAATAAAATACACCTCCTAGTGGAAAAAAAGTGTCAACTTATATCTATGGTAATTGAGATTTTTTTCTACTAATAATGCAATTCTAAAACTTACAATTTGAGTCTTCCTTTCCACTAAACTGAAATTGCACCATTTTGGAAGTTATACTTGGTATATGTATTTATATAAACCTGTGAACTTGGCACCCTTTTGTTTTCTCCAAAAGAAGTAAACAAACGACATGCATACTTGGCTAAAAAAGCATGCATGTGCATATTTATTGTGATCTGTCACGTAACTTGACCAAGTTCGGCTTTAGGCTGGTCATAGTGGGGAGTAATTTAGACTAGTGTCATGCATATGACACTA